GCGCTGCTCATACCAAGAGGTGTCAGGGTAAAAGAACCCCAAGTACTAGGAAATTCAGTGACTGCAGAACAAGTGAGGCTTGTTAGAGAAACCTGATACAGCTAAATGCTCTTCATGATCACCAGAACAGGGGTCAGAATTCTTATATCAAGATAAAGGTACAGCCCCTGGTAAACCACCCTTTTAATGTTACACTTGTGTAAGACAGGTCTGAGGTTCAGCCAGCTCATGAAAAGACCATTCCTGAGCTGAGAGCAGAGCTCTGGTTATGACACTTACTACCCAACTGTGATGCACTTCTATCCCCCCTACAAACCCAAGGAGAGGCTCCCCTTTGCAGCTCTGCATGCTCAAAGTCACAGTGATGACTCAGAAACCGCTGGGATCTGAAGGGATTTGATCAATGAGCTGACTTTCATTTCACACATCTAAAGACAACTTCAGAGGGCTGAACTAGGAGAGAGGGCTTTGTCCTTTACACAACCAGATTTGTCACCAAGGCAGAGCTCTTTGATCTGCATCACTTTGCAAAGGTTTCTTCTGACCTTTCCTCCCACACACAGGCACGCAGTTTCTTGGGGCACAGTTATGGTACAGGCTGTGAATTCAGTTCATACTCTCAGACCCTGTGGGCTCCTCCAGCCTTGATGCACATCCTCTATTTGAATAAATAATCTGACAGCAAAATTCAGCTTTCTTCACAATCTTCTAGTGAGAAGACAAGTTCAGTTCTGTACTTGGTGTCTTGCTGTCAAGTCCTTTAAACCCAGGGAGAGCTGTAATTAGGATTATCAACTACATTACACAGCTCACCATTTACCAGGGTTTGAGGGTATCCACAAAGTGTGTAGAGGGCTAACAGCCTCAGAAGAGAATCTGAGACAACCTGCAGGTGTCTGCCCTGGCTTTTGCCTGACCAAGAGAAGCTGTGGATAAAACTCCTGCACAGAGGGAAGGAGAGATCCTGGGTGAGCTCCCTCATTGACAAACAGGACAATGACATGCATCCCTAGCTGAGATTTGTAGCACTGTTATGAAAAAACACGTGAAACTGGGACCAAGTGGCGACACAGATGGGAAACCCCTAGCTTATTCCTTTGAAACAGCCAGAACATCAGCTAGATTTCAGTTTGTGCCATGATATGTGCGAACAGAATGACTCAGAGCTTAGGACACCAATTTATTTATCATTGACTGGAATTGACTTAACCAGGAGGCAGGACCACTAATATTAATCATTGCAGTAACACAAATTCTACTGAGCAAAGGCTGCCAGTACTCACACTAGCTACGTGGCCAAATGAAATGAAATTCCCCTTGTAGATGGCAGACTTAGGCAAAGACATGAACAGAAAAGTTTGCTTTCAACTTGAAGTTTTAAGGCAGACAACAGTGCCCTCCTCTGGGTTCTTGCTCAATTTCTTCCAGTAAAGCAGGCATTGAAACCTGATGGCTGCAAACGTGTTTTGCTAATTTATCACCTTTCGTATGTTTAAAAAATAATTATGTATGCAGCATAAAGCAACATGTAGGAAACCAAACCTTTCAAAATTGTTACTTTCAACATCAGGAACTGGATATCAGTCAGACTACTGGGAACTGTCCTAAAGACTCCAAATTAAACAAGGATTTTATTAAAAAATTCCAGACATTCACTCTGGTAGCTGCTCTAGTTACCCAGCACTAAATGGTGTACTTAGAGCAAACTCTCCCATACAGCCACTTAAAGATGATCAATTATGCAATGTCTTCATTTAAGTTTATTAATAAGAGACAGAATCTATAGCTAGATCACAAAAATAAACGGATATCTGTGTATTCTTCAGGCTTCTCCAGCTTCTTCATTCTCATTTTACCGTAAGAACTAAATAAAAATCCCCAATAATATAATATGTGGGAAATAATGGGGGGGGGGGGGGGGGGGGGGGGGGGAAGAGAAGGGGTGCTTGAAAAAATGGGCTTGCAACTCAGACCTCAGTTCTTAAAGTTTTCAAAGCTTAATTAATCACAATAGTGACAGATATCCCTTTCACAAATTGTCAAGAAGCACCATTGATCCTACATGTGTACTCAGCATAATTGAAAGACCTGTAAAATAACAAGTGGATGGTGACAGAGCAGCCGCTAACAGTGAGTAATAAAATCAGAAACAGATAATGTACAGCTATGAAAAGAAAAAAAAAACAAACAAACAAACAACAAAAAAAAAAAAACAAAACCAAAAACAAACTTTGATAGTGGCAACTGAAATTTAGTGAGAAATAATCACAAATTCTGACACCAGTTTTCAAATACAAAACCCTTATAACAACAGTAACAGCATATTGCCCACGGCTACAGACTACCACACAAGAATTGATCTAAGGAAGGGCAGAAGGCTAATAAGAAAGTAAAGCAAGGAAACCTCTGAGGAGGTAAGATTCTGCAAGTTGTAAGAATCGGGGGTGGTTGTTCATTTTTTCCTTCATGGTTTGGAGGTCATGTTGAAATGAAAACAGGATTTTTGCTTCATATGAAAACAAAAACAAAACCAGAACTGCGACATCAAGGACTAGTGACTGATGTGAAATAAAACTCCTTAGTGGTGTGTGCCCAGCTATTCTAAGAGACATGGAAACACTGTAGGACAGCGGGAGATCTAACCCACGAAGAACCAGAATAAAGGCATTTTTACTGTAAAGTTTCTGATGTTAGAGCTCAAACAGTCTGAACAGACTACTCTTAGTACAGTTGGCTTGAACATCTTCAGGGCTCACAGACACAAAGTCGCTCTCTAGGTGCTGGACAGTGCCAGAAAGGCACAACAAATACCTCCCAGACACCCGTCACTGCACAAAAGCTGGGTCAGTTTGGTTATAATTCTGACTTGTTTTTACATGTACTCTCCAGCATTACTTGGATCTGTCTGAATGTCCTGCCTCAGACGGAGAGCTAATTGCCTGCTCTTTGCATGGGTACTGGTGGAGACACACTGTGCCTGGGAGCTGAGGAGGGGACAGCCTCGGCTCCTGAGGATGCTGACAAGCAGTTAGCTTGAGGCTCACGTGTTGGCAGAGGCAGCGATCTGTGCTGATAATCTGTTCAGATCCTTATTTCCTGAAGTTTTGTGGAAAAGCACAGATTACCATTCCCACGGAACAGTTGTTCTTTGTCAAGAACAAATCAAGTGGCAAAAACCTATGATCTATTTGCTCACAATACAAGCAAGTGTTATTGCTGGACAAAATTACAGATTATAGAGATTTCATACAGTTGATTTTGCTTTAGAAGGACAAACACAATCCCTCTTCTGCAAAGGAGGAGAGATCAGGCAGTCCCAGGGTGTGCTTTCAACACCCCCGAAGCCCAGCCTTGTCTGAGACAACACTAAAATTCTAAGAAACCTTAGGGAAGAAAACTAAATTCAGTAATGGGACGGTTTTACAGCCATGTATGCTTCTGGGATTTTCAGTGCTGTATAAATACTCAGCTTCATCTCATAGTCAGAAATCTACGCAAATGCAAATGTATTAAGGGTATTCCCAGCACTGACTGGACCAAAGGAAAAACCAGTTTAGCTTAGGTCTAACCAACAATATTTCCTCTTCTGTGACTGGTGCTTTAATGGAACACAGCACATCTCTTTTTCTATAGGTTTTATTGCAAATGTTATCCCCCAAAAGACTTACACTATGCATAAACACTCATTTTCCCTATAAAAACTGCATTTTTTTTTCTCCAGCAATTGCTTCTGAATCAGCTACCTGAGTTTTTAAGGAACTAAATAACAATCACCATGTAAATCCTAAACAGATAGGAAGCTGGGATTTCTCAGGGCTGTAGAAACAAAACATCAGTCACAGTCAGCAGCTTGTATCCTGGTGAGCACATGCAGTCTCCTGATTAATGCTGGGGAGCCCCTTGTGGGATGAGATACTGGTGACAAACCTGACACATAGCACTACAGCTAGCAAATACAAAAGTTAAGGTGTGCTGATGTTTCTGCAGTAAGCAGCTTTCACATTGCAGGGAGGAGGGGGATTATTTTTAGCTCCAGGTATTACACAGAGACGTTAAATGCTGATGTGAGAGGGGACAGCACATGATTAGCTAAAAGCCAGACACGGGTGTTCTTGCAATGACAGCTATCGTACTATGTGTCATTTGCAAATGGAAAGGGGGCTAAAAATATACTGCAGAGAGATAAAAATATATTGTGCAAAAATCACAGGGATAATGGAAATATCCAAAAGAATATGGCAAGACACTATCGCTTTTCTACAGCAGCACAGAATTACCTTAATCAGATAATAAATAATTATACCCCTAAATAGAGTTCTCCGGCTGGCTTTAACACTCTACAAAAAGGATTCTAGCAGCTGTGGTAGGGCTTCAAGCTTGTAGGAGAGCTAAAGGACATTTCTTAGGAACCAGCTGGTTTTAACCAGACCACATCCTACAGGTTTCTCTATGACCTGTGGCAATGAGTACAAAGAGAGCATAGCCTGGCACGACTGTGTTAAGGCTCACATCTGTAGGGTTTGCACTCACATTGATCCCATGAATAAGAAGAGCTGCTGAGGCAGATGTATCTCAGTACAGGGGTTTTATTAGTGACCACAGGAACCCTAGCCATGTCATAATGACCATACATCCTCATACATCAGGTAAAAAGACATGGGTATTTGAGAGATTAGGGATTTTATTATTATTATTTCCAAAGGGAAAAAAAAAAAAAAAAGAATTCAGAGGTACTAAGTTTTACTAAATTTTTATTAACTAGTAAGGACTTATTTCTTGTCATGATTCCTGTGCTTCTAGCCTGTGGGATTTAGCCAGGGGGAGCTGCTTCCAGGCAAATCTCTAAATTCAGGTGCGGTGTCGGCAGGCAGAGAGCACTAGAGGGCACCAGCACTTCGCACAGACAGGAAGGATCAGCAGCACGAATCTCTCCTGATGGCAGGTGAGAGAAATAAATTGCAAAAGGAATAGTGATATAAAAAAATCAAACTCTAGTTTACCTGGCATGAAAGCCTCTTGATTTGCACAGGTCCAACCCACAGCCATTGGCCAGGAACGTGCACTGTATGGGAATGCTGGAAGATGGAAAATTCATGAGCCAGTAAAAATAACGGGGGTGTTTAAGTGATGTTTCCCACTGATACTCCCAGGCTGTTTCCGTGTTTTGAGCAGGACAATAATTTATCCAAATTATATGAGGCCTTCAGAACAAACACATGATAGAAAAGAGTAATTACAGCAGGAGCTGGCATGTCAGTATATGTCTAACCACCAAACTAGTCTTCTAGTGCCCGAAGCATGAAACCGCAAGGAATTTGTCACTGCTTACTTCCATTCAGTGCTGGACATAAGAAGCACTGGGAAATGCTGTGCTTCCCTTCCAGATGAGATTCAGTTTACTACTCAAATTCCTAGTTTTACCATATTTAAGTTCCCTGTACTCACCAATATCATGCATGAGGTCTGAGCATTTCCTGAGCAGAGATGAATTTAAAAAGCACAACCACACTGCTGTTCACTATTTCACGTTTAACCATGCTCTGCTTGGACCCATCCCCTGTCTGCATCTGGTTCCAGAGCTCTGGGGAGAATGGCTGTGCCCTTGCTGTGTGCTGGGGGGGCACCTGGGAAGGTCCTCAGGGTGCTCTGACAACAGAAATATGAGAGAAAGCAAAAAGGGCTGTCTTGTACTGATTCAATAACAGGCAGAAGGCTAGATGAGCCCTGGAGGAGCTAAGTCATGCACCCAGCTATTAACAGTGCCCCAGTGACAGGGATCTTATAGCTAGCAGCCTTCTGGGGCACAGCAGTCACTGGGGAAGCAGAACCGGCAGCCTCTGCCCTTCGTTCGTGCAGCAAGGCCCCACGGCGCCTGAACAAGACAACACACACAGTGGTCAGACATGGCACTGACAGCCTTGGGGTGACCCTCCCCGGGTCTGATGTCTGCACCTTCAGAGACCTAGCACCATGGACCAGCCCCAACCCTGACATCAGGGCAGGATGCCGTGATGGGATTCCTGCTTCTCTCCAAACACCCAATTCACTCAGTGAGCTTATATATTCTAAAGCACACTAATTACCCCAGGATAAGATGCTACATAGCTAATTGCCCCTAAGCCACACAACTTTTGCAGCGTTTTTCTGCAGACAAGACCTTCCCACACCCTCCTTTTCTGCCAGGGAGACCAAGGATAAATTCCTTAAAGAGCAGAAATACAGAGCTACTGATCACATTCCAATCATAACGATTGCAAATTATCTTATGGGAAAAAAATGTGGAGGCACATTAATTATTTGTATCTGAAAATACACACAGGCAAATAGGTCACACATAGATTTCAGTTGATTAAGAATCAATTGAATTGATGAATTCCCATTAATCTGAAAAAAATTGTAATGTTTCAATCAATGAATTGTGGGCAGTTTACACAGAAACTAATGCAACTAGATAATGCTGCTATCTGGAAGAAAGGACAGACTTTTACCTAATTGTTTAAATTACTTTGAAGTTTGTGAAAATGAATTGTTAAGAAATTCTGTTATAACCACAACTACTCTGCTTCCCTCTACTCATTCACAATTCAACTTCAGCACTATCCACAATTAATATTCTCCTGAGTGAGATGATTTTTAATAATGCATTAAATAATTCCTTGGGGTTTCTTGAAAACTCTTGGCATATACAGTGGTTTTCTTCCATGCTCATTTACACAAAGCCGCATGTTGATTACCCAGGCAGTGCCTGACCAGCACCCTTTACATCTTTACAAGGGAAAATCTTACACTTAATGACCAACAATCACATTTTGATCTTAATTGCAGTGGTCAGTGCATATAACCGAGACTGAATGAAATCAAGATGGCCCTTACAAGTGCTGGACATGTGTTTGGCAGGTTAATTCCTTGTCACAAATAAGATATCCAGCTAAAACTTTCCCTATTTACCTTTATAAAGGAATTAGGTGAGATGCGAAAATCACGTATGTGCACCAACTGCCCCTGAGACGCAGCTACCCTGTCATCTGACCTCACCTTCATACAGGAAATCCTTGTTGTTATGTAACAATTTCTGTATAGGTAGAAACAACAACAAAAAACTTTAAATACCTATCAAAGTAGTACAGTTAGAAAAAAATCCCATGAATCTATAGAGAGCATTGACAACAATTTTATTCTCCACAACTATTCTCAAGTCTAAAGTTTCAACTGGTTGCTGACCCTGGATAAGTCAGTTCCTGGCAGAGTATCCCTGAATCACTTTTTGTTTAATCTTGGCATTTTTGACACACATTGATAGTGCTAGACAGTGACTCCTTCAATTTTTGGACAGGATTGTTATTCCCATCTCAGGCTTAGATAGGGCAGTGACAAAAATATGAGATACTTTGGCTAATCGTTACCTCTTCCAACGAATATGGAAATGCTGGTCTCACAATTATTAGACATCAAACCTGATTTCATTTTCTCTCTCCCCCCCCCCCCCTTTTTTTTTTGTTTTTGTTTTTCTCCTCTCCCAGGAGTAGGCTATATTGCAGTATGTCTTCTCTAAACTGCACAGTAACAAAATATGCTCTGTGATTTTCCATGTAAGACTTCCTATTTGGTAAATAAAGCCATTTCAGCTTCAGGTCCAGAGAAGATATATAGTACCCAGGGTCTCGACTTCTGCTGTATGAAGCCAGAAGTGATTTGGGACCTTTTTTATTCATCTCAGAGACTGCACTGTTACAGCAGCACAATGCAATCAGCGGGGAGCCCAGGGCTAAAAGGCTTTTAACTTAAACAGGAACAGTTTGGAGACAGCAATTTCTGTAGCACAGAGGAACTCTGAAGTTCCCTTTGGTGCTGGTTGCTGAGACAGGGACAGGATCAGCTGCTAACATTTGTCACCCTCGGTGTTCTCCAAAGCATCCTGGGACAGAACCACACAGGAGACGGGGAGCTGTGTGATAAAGGAACTTCCTAGTTACTGCATTTGCTAAAGTTAAGAAAAACTCCATGTGGGGAAAAAAAATACATATACTCACACATGCACACACATCTATATAGGCATTAACAATGATTTTATTTTCCAACAATACCTTGAACAATTCAGGACTGGCTTCCTGCAAGTCTCTGAGAGTACTGCCCTGGTATGCACATACACAGCCCTCAGGATCCACCAAGCCTGGAAGTTTGCAACCTACTTTATTTCTGCAGTAATTTAGCTAACAGTGCTACATTTAGATATAGCTATCTTTGCAGATATAATAGAGTTTGCAATAGGTGAAATTTATAGATGAAACTTTCCTTGAATTTCTTGAAAAACAGACAGCAAAGCTATTTGTATCCCATCTCTAAGCCTGATTATACACAATTATTTTTTTTTTCATTGTAGCTTTGAGGTACCCTTTAATTTTTTTTATTATTTTTTTTAATCCTCGTGGGATTTCTCAGGCTTACTGGATTGTCATTAGTATTTGCTTTTGCTTGCTTGCAATTATTTCCCTCCTCATATTCTTAGGATGGATGGCTCTCTACTATTAATGTCAGCCACACCACAAAAGAGCAAACAAATTATGCATAAGCCACACTGTGGGGACGTGACATTAAGATGAATTTTAGGTTTAAAAACAGCATCAGAACAAAATATTAACATTATAACCTGATATTAGCTGTAACACTTTGCACTGAAAATCTGTGAAAGACAAGCTGTTCTTAGCTCCATGAAATAGTCTCTATTAAAGTGAAAACATGGAATACTGCACAGAAGAGGTTAAGAATCTAAAAGCATAATCTTTACCCAGACTCGGCTTCAGTTTCAGAAAGTTAGACATGAGGTTCTAGGCAGACTGGTTGTAATATCGTTATTTTATAGTGTGAATATTAAATCAAAAATTCCCCGTTTTTATGTTTTTCTTTTACTTCAAGAGCTTTTGCTTCCTCTCCAAGATTTGTGAAGTTCATTCAAGGTTTGAGTACCAAACTACTTTCAGAAATGCCTCTTGACGTGTCACGTTCTTTAGCAAATTCTGAGGACAAGTCTAGGTGCATGTTGTAAAGCAGGAAGTGTAAAACTACCCAGGTTTGGAAGAATATTTAATGGAGATAAGGACCAAGGAAGGAAAAGGTAAAAAATAAAAAGTTGCTACTTATTTTTTCCTTATAATTGAGAAGAATGAGACCTAAAGCCTATAATTAGTCTTTATGTCACTACCTATTGTTTCTTAATAGAAGACTAGGTTCTCTTCTCAATAAAAGTAAATCCATATTCTTAGAGAAATCACTCTATAAATTCTACTATTGTGCTACTTGGACCCATTTTTGTTGTTGCTGGCATTAGTTAGCCAGGAGTATGTATGAGAGTTTGTAAAATACTGTCTAAACACAAAATGAAATCACATCCACAGCTCACTATTTTATGCTTTGTAACTGTTATACTCTTTCTTCTTCATCAAATGAATCATGTGTGACAAAGATGTTGCTATCCCAGAGATAACAAGTTTCTGCAAGTTTTGCGAAAACGGACAGCCAAGAAGAGAAGAGACTTGTTAACACCTCCACTGGAGAAAGAGTGCGGCAGAAACACAACACTTGAATATCAGAAAACACAAATGAGACTTTTTCAAGCACCCAAATTCTGCGACAAAATGCAGTCAGTACTGGAGTTTTATTACATATTAGAAAATTCACTCCTCAGGATTGGGTGATTTTTTTTTTATTTTTTATTTTTTTTTGACAGGTAATGTCTCTGTTACCTAAGGAGAGAAGGAATTTATGTTGGAGCTTTGGGTAAATTCTGCTAAGAAAAGGCTTGCTCTGCCTGGGTGAGCCAGGCACAGTGCTGCAGCCTTCCTATAAAGCAATCAATATCTCCCCTTGATGGAAAGTTCCTCAGCACCGTCTTTCCTCCTACTCCAATTGCCCAGGGCTGTCTTGTTGGCAAAACTGTGACATCTATCATCATTAGAGGAAGGGAGCATCCACTTCTGAACTTCAGAAAAGAAATTATAGGCTTTCAAAATGGAGCAATCAGGCAGGGGCTCTCCTCTGCCTGAGGGCTGCTGGGGAAGGCTGCTC